TGACTTCTACTGCTGCCCCTGCCCCTACCGCTACAGTCATGCTACCGCTACCGCTAATGCTACTGCTGCTGCTACGTCTCCTCATCCTACTCCGCCTCCTCCTCCTCCTCCTCCTCCTACTACTACTACTACTACTACTGACTACTTCTACTGACTACTTCTATGACTATTTCTATTGCTATTACTACTGATACTACTACTACTACTACTACTACTACTACTATTACTACTACTAGTACAGCTACTAGTACTAGTACTACTAGTACTAGTACTAGTACTGGTACTGGTACTACTACTACTACTACTACTACTACTACTAGTACAGCTACTAGTACTAGTACTACTAGTACTAGTACTAGTACTAGTACTAGTACTAGTACTGGTGCTAGTACTAGTACTAGTACTACTACTACTACTACTACTACTACTACTACTACACTACTACTATCTACTGTTGCTACTACTACTACTACTACTACTACTGCTACTACTACTACTACTACTCCTACTACTACAACTACTACTACACTGCTACTACTGCTACTACTGCTGCTACTGCTACTGCTACTGCTACTACTACCGCTCATCACGACGACTTCGTTTCTCATCACCATGGCGACTGATACCACACCTAGCTGCCTCGTTGTTCTTTCCTTTCACGGAAGGAAGCCTTAGCGGCGCGGCGAGTAGCCGAAGAGGCGAGGAGTGCCGGAGGTATCGTTGTCCTTGGCCCTTGTCACGCGCATTTCTTCCAGGCAAAGCAAGCAGAGCATGAGGCTCTCTCCGAAATGAGGCTTACAACGACGTTCCCACTTGTGCGGTGTTATGTTCATTGGTGATCTATAGAAAGGGGCTACCTCGACTCTGGCAGGGAATTGACTGAGAAGCAGGCGCTGGACCTTCAGTCCAAGGCGCATCCCCCAGATCAGCCATGGTGCTTCAACGTTTCAAACTCATTCCATCTCGCGAAGGCCGATGCTGCCAAGAAAGCTGTCCAGGAAGCGCAGGCACATGGGCAGCCACGGGCAGAAGGTTTAGTGGTGCTCTTGATTCAGCAGTTTTCCCGCCTTCTCTGAGGAAGCGCAGGCCAAGCTCATGGAACAGGCTGAGAAGGCCCGCAAAGCTGCGGAGGACAGCCTGTTGGGTCTGACAGAGGCACATTTTGCGAGAACACACTCTGAATGCAATGAGCAAAAGGCATGAGGGAGTGGCACGAGATGGCACGAGCATGAGAAGCTTACTGTCGGCATCAGGAGAGAGCCCAGGTTGCCTCAGATCTAAAGAGCCTTGGACGCAGACTTCTTTCACATTCCATTTTTGATTCGTCCGTTTGCAGCATGAAAGTGGCAACTGCTCGTCGGCGTTCGTGGCATTACTTGTTTCAGGTTTGTGGTTAGCTTGTCATTGTTGTTCTTGCAAGGACGTCCAATGGGACCTCCCGATGAGAGTTGAGGCTCACCTGGCAGAACTTGTCGTGCAGCTGTTGAAGTGGGAAGCTTTGAGACAATGTGTTGGTTCGTTTTGTATTTGCATGCCATACACCGTTGTGAAAGCTGGCTTGGATTGGCGTGAGTATCGCAGTTCTGGCGTGACAGTGTGGAGAGAAGCTGGATGTCGAAGACTCATGTCAAAACCTCTCCGCTGCAGGCCACTCCTTTCGACGTCGCTGCGTAGTGACATAGTGCCTTATCAAAGTGCCGGATGACTATCTGAATTGACCACAAACTCACCCAGCAAAGCAGATGGCGTTGCAGTACTGAAGTCAGCTTAAGTCGATGACTTTGCCTCGGGCGAGCGTAATCAGATTGTTTCGGAGAGGAGAATGCCTGGTGTCCGGTTTCAGCGATGATCAAGAAGTAAGGTTCACAGGCCGCTCGAAAGACTCTCATGGCTTTGGACCCACCTGACACGCTATATCCCCGACACTGACCCCCAACCGAAATTACTGCAAGATCATGTCCACAATTCAGTGCGTCTTCGGCACATTGTGCACGATCCGTTCTAATTCTAGATTCAGTTTAATTACCGGCATGTCCTCTGGAGAAAGCCGTTCTGGAGAAAGCGTTGGGCTTGGCCAAACATTCAGAAATGGAAGAAGATGCTGCACACCCATGCTCATACTCTTCGAGGGTGCATTGGAATAAGTAGGGCCCAATGAGAGCATTGCACATATTGAACCATACTGAGACTATGGAGCCTTGCGGCATCTCATGAGGACACGGCCACTCGCAAAATCTTAAAAAACAACCTCAGAGGGACATCCTGCGGCGTGACAGCTCTCGAGTCCGATGGTTCAGCTGCAAGGCTTGCAGGGTGCAGGTGGTTTTCCATGGACAGACGCCATCCCCTGCAAAGACAAGGTTGGGTCGAATACTAGGATAGATTTATGCATAGAGAGTAGCCCTGAGAGACCAAGACATGCCCTCCCAAGTTTGCTTGGTTCTGCATTGTTGGACTTTGTGTGTCTCGTAGTTCTGCTCCTGCTGCTGCTGCTGCTGCTGCCGCTGGTTGTGTTGGTTTTGCTGTTGCTGTTGTTGTTGCTGTTGCAGCTGCTGTTGCTGTTGGTTGGGTTGTTGGTTGGTTGGTTGGCTGGTTGG